CAGCTGTTTTTGAAGTTGCTTTGGATTCAAGAAGCAACAGTGGAAAGGTAAAAGGGAAGAGATTCTACCAGGAAGGAGAAGGATGAGGGTGCCACAGGGCTTGCAGAACTAACATACAGAGCCGGCCCCAGGTTTTATTGCACACTAGGCGAGGCTACCTTCTCCCCCCCCCCGTGTGCCCACCAATTTTCAAACATAAATGCATTTTAGGAAGAATGAAAAACACAAAATTTGAAATTGCTAATTTCTTTTTTTTTTTAATTGTGAGAGCAAGTAATACAATCTCTGATTTTCTCTCTCAAACAGAAAAATACAAATCGCAAAGCATTTTGAAAAATCTTGTTAATTGTGAGTGGAAACACCAAAAAAAGGCGCCCTAGCTCTCCCCGCCCCCGCCATAGTTTTCCTTCTTTTATTATGTGAGAGGGAATGCTTTTCTTCCTTTCAGAATGTATTTTCAAAAGAAGTACTGTTTTTACTCTTATGAAAACTTTTCCTCCTTTGTTTTTGAAACTATGAAACTTTCCCTTCTGTGTTTCTCAATAAATGTCATAAAGTTGTATGCTATGGGGGTAGTGTGATGTGTGCTATTCACTTATTGGAGAGGGTCAGTCTAGTGTGACATTAAAAATGTGGCTCACTTTATGGATAGTGTTATGCCTAATGGCTGAGTCCTAATACTTTGTTGGATTCTGAGCTCATGTTTTCTGGAGCTGAGTAGTTCTGGCAAAATCTGGGTTCATTTGAAGAGGAGAAGCTGCATACATATTGACTGTTTAGGTACTCTGCCAATCGGAGGCAAACACTGAAATCTTCAGCAAAGTAATATCCTTCCAAGTCCTTTGATGTTTAGAGTTGTACTGAAAGCCCACTTAGAATTCCGTGTGTTTTTACATCTGCCCTTTTAATTATGACAAATTACAGTGTTCAAATGACTTTGTTCAAACTTATGCACACTGATTCTCAAAATTGCCAATACTTCAGGAGCTATTATTGTTAGTAACTCAGACTCAAAACACTTAGAGCCAGTTTGGAGCGTGGGCTCTAATCAGGGAGAACTGGCATGGCCACTCGGCTTAGGATTGCGCTGCAAAGCCCAGCAGATCCCAGCTGTTCCTCTAGGTAGGCTCGCCAGCTCTGAGTTGGGAAACACCTGGAGATTTTTGGGGTGAGACAGAGCAGTGGGTGTTGCCTTCTGACACACTTTCGGTGATGTCAGGGGGTGTGGCATATGCAAATAAGTTATGCTAATGAGTTATGCTAATGCGCTCCTGCACCTCTTCTTCTACGAAATGACCCCTGCTACCCAACAATCCCAACAACCAGGGGGAGGTGCTAAAGGCAGTTCCAGGCCCCTAAGAACACGGGGCCCTTTCCTGAGAGTGTGTGGGTTAGATGGCCCCAGCACCCACCACGACCCTTCCTGGACCCCAACGCAGGCATTCATGTGGTGGCTCAGCCACTCCTCCAGCCTGCCCCTGTCCCTTCTCTGCCCCCAAATGACATGCCCCACCCCTGCAATATAAAGCCCTGAGACCTCTTCACAAGGTGCTTCTTCATTGGAAATGCCTAGCAGCTCCTTGCATTCCAGCATCTCAAGAAGTGTGCGTCTGTGTGTGTGTCTGTGTACTGGGGGGGGCTGCACAATCACAACTCTCCTAATAACAACCAGTGTTCCCTCAAGCTGAGTTGGGTGTGAGATAGCTCACAGTTTTGTAGCCTCTGGCTCACACATTTTTGTCTTAGCTCAGTAAGGATGGCTCCAGAGCAAACTAATTTATGCAGTAGCCAAATGGCTCAGCTTAGAGGGAGCAAAGGCTGGTGTAACCAAACTACAGACTGCTGTTTGTTGTACTTGCAGTTACACAAAAGGCTGGTGCAAGTATAACAAACAATAGTCTGAGCCTGAAGCATGTGAAGCCTTACGAGGCACTCTTTATGAGGGTAGGGCTGGACCAGTGAGGCGCCTAGCATTCTTTTCCTCTTTCCTTTTGTGGTTTTTTTTGTTGAGTGTTTGTGTGTGCAAGGCGGGTCTAAGTGGCATCTTTGCTAGTAACTCTTTTCAGAAAGTTCTCAGCATGACACTTCAGATTTGGATAAGCAAGACCACTCTCCCCTCAGCCACCTCCCCAGCAGGCATAAAGGTGCTGACGCCAAGGGAGAGAGGTGTGTGTGTGTTGCTTCTGGTTCTTAGCAAGCAAATGCAAAGCAAGCAAGCAGGGCTCTTGCCCAGCAAATGAAACTCAGATGCGGAGGACTGCTAGCATCTGCCTTTATCTACCTCTTATAGCTCGACCTTACACACTCCCTGCCTTATACCATGAAAAAAACTTTGTTGGTGTAATGTACCCAGTCCAGACAAGTCCAGAGACAAACACAGAGCTTCGCTCCAAGAGACAATGGACTATGCAGATCCTAGCCCGCTCCAATCAGGGGGCTAGGTTCCCGGCCAAGAGCCTATGGGACTCTCGGCCACTGTAAATAACCTATAGGGAAGTAGGGGTGTGTTTTGGGTGTTTGCACAATCAAAACTGTTTAAAAACAATCTGGTATTTTGCAAATAGCCAGACTCTCGCACTTCCTTTTGTGTATCTTGTGGCTGTAATTGCACAATAAAGAAGTTTATAGGAAACCAGAATATTAAATTAAATTACAATTAGTTTAATTAAAAGTGCTTCTAATATTAAAGCACTAGAAATTAATGAGAAATTAGTTCTGTGCTAAAAGCCATGCATCCTTATCTTGTGTTGCTAAAAAAAAAAATCCTATGAAAGCATTTTCTTGTTTCAAAAATTACAGTTTGTCAGCAAGTTCATGAAGGTTGCATTTGATATTGTTTCGCAAACTTGGGGGGGGGGGGTTACACTGAAATGCCAGAGATAGTTTCAACTCTTTTTAAAGTTAACATTTTATATCAGCAGTTTTCATATTCTGTTGATTTTTTTTAAAAAAAACACCTGAATAAGCATACTTCTGAAGTTCAAACTTTTTTTTTTTTACTAATTTCTGTCCTAGAGAAAGAGTATGTTAAGATACTCTTTGACCATTTTGTGAAGGGATATAGATTCTTTTGAACTATGGTGCTGGAGAAGACTCTTGAGAGTCCCTTGGACTGCAAGAAGATCAAATCAGTCAATCCTAAAAGAAATCAACCCTGACTGTTCCCTGGAAGGCCAGATAATGAAACTGAAGCTCAAATACTTTGGCCACCAAATGAGAAGGGAGCACTCACTGGAGAAGACCCTGATGCTGGGAAAGATTAAAGGTCAAAGAAGACGGGGACGGCAAAGGATGAGATGGTTGGACAGTGTCATCGACGCAACGAACATGAAATTGAGCCAACTTCAGAGGACAGCGGAAGACAGGAGGGCCTGGCGGGAGCTGGTCCATGGGGTCGCGAAGAGTCGGACTCGACTGTGCGACTGAACAACAACAACAAGGATAGTAGTCTTTGGCAGTATTTACTGTATGTCTCACCTTCTCCTTACTGCATTGTTCCACTGCCTTTGTTATCTGCTTTCTGAATTATGGCATATCTTGCCAAGAGAGGGGTTTTCCCCCCTATTGTCCTTTGTAGGTTTTCGGTCCACTTATGAATTTCGTAATTCTAATGCTACTACATTGCTCATTGGAGGTCCTTGCTGTGTGACTGAGCTATTTTTAAAATGTTATAATCCACCAGGAATCTCAGTGAGAAATTAAATAAAAAGGAATAAAAGTGAGTATTTGTAATTCTGTGGACAAAGGAGATTATCTTACTTGCCCTGGACGTAGAAGCCAGTGTGCTCTTCCCTTCCCTGCTAGACTTCTGCACCTTGATGAGTGCAGAGCATGACATCCTTCTCTGGAAACCACCAGCTCCTCCTTCTGCCCAGGGCAGACATAGGGACACCTCCTAGTCTGTCATTTGGGCTAAGGCCAAATTTAAATGTAATGCTGGTAGGCAAAAAAGGATTAGTATGCATGTGCTCTTCCCAATTTCTGATTAAAACTAGGCTACATGTGCCATGCCAGAACTTCAGTGCTGCTCCTGTCCAGGCTCCTTGGCATGCTAATGCTACCTGGACAGGTAAGGTGACCTGGTTTCAAGGAGATCCTGGGCTTATGCAGTTCTAGACAGGCTATAGTGAGTATCTTGTTTCCATGCACTCTGTCAGGCATGCTTCAGTTGTTTTGTTCTTCAGAACTAAGGCATGGGGTATATCTGCAACGTTTAATCACAGTGTCCTCTGCTTGCTTTTTCTTTCAAACTTGGGACATGGAATTGTAAGTTATAGCCCAATCTCATCAGATCTCAGAAGCTACACGGGGTTGGTACCTGGATGGGGGACCACCAAGGAAGACTCTGCAAAAGAAGGCAATGGCAAATCACCTCTACTTCTCACTTGCCTTGAGAGCAACTTACTGGATTTACTATAAATTGGTAGTGACTTAATGGCACATATATACACAATTCATTAGTGCTGTCACGGAGCAATTTTCACTATATATTAAATGTTTTGTCCGTGCTGTCTTCTGCCTTGCATCACCGGCATATCCCATGAAAGGAAACAGCAGAGAAAATTTACGATTTTTCCTGTGGCCAACTTAAAAGTTTTTTTTAGACTGCTCTTCCAATTCAGTCAGCTAAATTAACAACATATAGATATGTAGGGGGAAGAAGGATATGTTTTCCAGGTTCATCTTAAAGAGGAGAGATCATTAATAATGAATACATGGCCTTCAAAGTGGTGCTTCACTTTGTTATCATCGTTAGTTCCAATAACCCTGATTTAGCAACCTAGATTTTGGACAGAAACCAAAGCATGGTGAAGATGGAGAGTGTGTTTGTGGGATGCTGAATGCAGGAACCATTTACTGAACAAACTGAGAAGAACTAGACACATTCCCAGTGGCAGCCATTGTTAGGTATATACAAATATTTGATTGCTTCATGGTCTTTACCCTATCAATTTGACTGCTGAGTTGTTTTAATTATATCCCTCCCCTTCTTTTTTCAGCTGTACCCCACAAAATAGGCCGTATAATTGATGGAAGTCCTGCTGATCGCTGCGCAAAACTTAAAGTCGGAGACCGGATCCTAGCTGTGAATGGCCAGTCTATAATTAACATGCCTCATGCAGATATTGTGAAGCTAATTAAAGATGCTGGTCTTAGTGTAACTCTTCGCATCATTCCTCAGGAGGGTAAGTAATTGACCCTTAAAGCCCAGGAGGAAAGTAGAAGTAGCAACCAATTAATCTGAACTGCACCACTAGGGAGGTTGAGAGATTTTTGTATGTGATGCCCATGTGTGATATTATATAAATGTTACTGCTGGATCCCCATGGAACATGCTTGAACGGGAATCTGAATCCTTCAAAAACACTTCAGATGGCCAAAGTGTATACGAACCACCGGAAGAGGCCTTGATGAACTACTGCAGGGCCTGTTCTTTTACTCTGAGGGAGAACAAGGTCTCCACTACAGCCACATCTGTTCCAGTCCTACAGACAGAGATTCTCACCTGAGGAATCTACAACAAACCTTTTTAGAACTAAAATATCCACCTGATGAAGTCAAGAAACAGATTAACAAAGCCAGTATAGTACCCAGAGAAAACTGTTGCAAGACTGACCCAAAATAGAAAAATAACAGAACACCACTAGTGGTCACATACAGCTCTCAACTCAAAACAGTTCAACACATCATCAGCAACTCACAGCCTCTACTACATAATAACAGTTCTTTTTCACAAGTATGGGGGGGCAAACCTTTTCTTGCCCACAGACAGCCCCCCAATCTTAAATAACTCCTCACTCACAGTAATACAACATCTAATTTAAACATGAACACTGGTACCAGAGTTTGCAGTAAACGCAGATGCCAACTTTGCTGCCACATACACCCAGAGAGCACAATAACTGGACCTAACAACAACATCAACACCATCTCAGGCTCATTCACTTGCTCATGTTCTAACATTGTATACGGCATTAAATGTCAACAATGCCCTTCAGTTCTCTACATAGGGCAAAGTGGTCAAACCCTACACCAAAGGATAAATGTATACAAATCTGACATCAAGAATCACAAAATTGAGAAGCTGTAGGAGAGAACAAATTGAGAAGTCAACCTTTCGGGACATTCAATGAATGACCTCAAAGTAGCTGTTTTATTGCAAAGAAATTTCAGGAACAGACTAGAAAGAGAGATTGCTGAGTTACTACTTATTACAGCACTCAGGACAATGGAACCCCCAGGGCTTAACGGAAATACTGGTTTCTTATCTCATTATTGAGATATTGCTGAATTTATTTGGCTCCATATCTTCCCACCCCAAGTCGTGTCACATGTTGGAGTGAAGGGAAGGCAGTAGTCCCTTTAAATACCTTCCCTTTATTCCCCAAGTTGTGTGCCATCACTATGGTATGACTCCCTCCCCAAGTTTTGTTGCAGCAGCAGCACACATCACGAAGAGAAGGGCAGCAGAGGGGTTTAAAGGCTTCCTCCCAGGGAAGCTGATCGGACCAGCAACCTACCGGGCTGATTGGCTTCCCCTGAGAGGAAGCCATTTAACACATTAGTTTTACTCCCTCTGCTCAGAGCTGGGGGGGGGGGAGCAAAGCAGAGGGGGTTTAAAGGCTTCCTCCCAGGGAAGCCGATCAACTGACAGGTGGACCACTGTGCTGACCAGTTTCCCTGGGAGGAAACCATTTCAGTGCTCGTTTCACTTCCCCTGCTCTGGAGTGGGGAAGAAAGGGAGCCCTGAAATGCCTGCCAGGTATTTAAACCGAACAGCTGACGGGCAGCTCCACTCTTCAGCTGTTAGGTTTAAATGGCCAGAGGGTTCGGTATAGCTGATCATGGATCTCCATGGGTCTTTTTAAGCTTGGACAGCTGCGAGGTGGGTCGATTTGGGTCACAGCTGTAAAGGGCCAGGGAGAGTAACCTCCTGTTGTTGCTCAAACTGAAACCAGTCCCCCCTCTCTGTGCTGTTATTAGCCATTTAAAGAGCTGTCAAGGATGGAGGGTGCTGGTTTTGGTTTGAAAGGTTGATAGAGGTAAAACCACTTTTCCCATTTCTACATCATCTCCATACAAACTGGGGCCCAAAAAGCAGTTATTTGGCTTAGAGAGGTGCTGGGAAGATCTAGTCAGGTATTTCTCAGCATTTTATGTGTTTTATTCATTAATTCATTCAATCAGCTCAGAGTGGTTTACAGCAGTTTTTCAGTATGCAGTTCTGTGCCCAAAGGGCTCACAGTCTAAATAACTGATAATAATTTAATATCACTTAATTCTGGGAACCAGAGATTGATCCTAGGCATGGCTGAGATGCATCTTCTGCCTAGAAGAAATGGATCTTCAAGATCCTGGAAATAGGTCTTTAGAATAGGTTTCTACTAATTCATGTTCTTTTACAGCATACTCATTCTTTTCTGCACAGTGAGAGAGGTTGCAATGTTATGCATTTTTAGTCAGATATAAGTCCTGTTGAAGCCAGTAGGATATCTGATTACCATGCCCAGGACTGATCCATTTGCCCACTTAGACCACCTCTTCAACATCCATTATCCTCTGCCATTTTTGTTTGTTTATGTTTTGCCTAAAGGGCAAGTCACTTCCTTCTGGTCCCTCATTCAGTCTTTCCTGCCTTCTACCTATTAAGTCCTCCAAATGGAAACTTTCCAACCACCACTCTCTGTTTTTAAAAGCAATGGAGAGAGATGGAGGCTCTCAATTGGATTTTTAAGAATCCATGTATCAGCCAGAATTGTAGTAGATTTCAGAGCACAACCAATGAATTTATTTATTTATTTATTTATTTATTGGGATTTTTACCCCGTCCTCCCCACAAAGTGGGCTCAGGGCGGCTTACAAGGGGCAACACCCATATAAAACAAGGTAAAAACAATAAAAACATTAATAATTCATCACAACAACAACAATAGTTGAAAGCAAGATGGTCCCTGGATGTATGCCATGATGGTAAACAGACAGTTCTCCAGAGATGATGTTGACCTATAGCCGATCCCAAGGAAGTAAGTCCGGTGGTATCAGTCATGCAAAAATTGTGCCAGATCTTCCCGGGCCATCCTTAGCCCCGATGTTGTCCACATCATTGGTGGCGGTGGTAGTGGAAGCCTTCTAAGGTGGACGCCTTAGAAGGTGGAAGCCTTCTAAGTTCAGATGTTTTAAAATCTAGCTATGACCCTGAATAAACAACCCAGCATGAACATTCTTGGGTAGAGTATGATACAGCGACAACCAGTCTGCTTTGCCCTTTACTAAATACTGCATGGTAACAGCTCCCTCTTGTCTCTCGCGTTCCCATTATGCAGAGCTGAACAGCCCAGCTTCCGCACCCAGCTCAGAGAAGCAGAGCCCCATGGCCCAACAGCATAGCCCCATGGCTCAGCAAAGTCCACTCTCGCAACAGAGCCCAGTAGCACAGCAGAGTCCCGTAGCACAACCAGCACCTCCGCAGCCGCTCCACTCTCAAGGGCATGAAAACAGGTAAGGCAAACAGTGGCTTCAGTTCTTAAGGATCATATACCATACCAGACCATGAGTCCCTAATAGGGTGGGGGGGGGGGGCTGAAGGGGCCAACTGGGCATTTTCTTCTGTTATTTAACAATATGCAATATGACATTTCCTTATCCAACTTGGTGATGCTGGTCATGTGGTTAAAAGAACGGGGGCGGATATTTCTGTGTCCTTGTAATGATATTGGGGTGTCATCAAGAATATATCAAAATGCATGGGTTATGTTCAAAACCACCCACATACTACAAAAATGTCCTTAATAGGGTCAGCAGAAAACATTTGAGCAGGGAACTAGCATGCTGCACAGATTATGGAAAGGTAGCTATGTTAGTACATTGCTGCAAAAAGAGGATTTTGTAACATCTTGAAAACTAATTAGGCTTAAGCTTCTGTGGGCCTGGGCTCACTTTGTCAGCTGGGACTAAGAGGACTTGTACAGGCCCTGGTGGATCTGGTGCAGGAGCAGGCAGAAGTTCCACAGAACAACCAGGCAGAAAGTACCAGGTAGTCACTCACAGCAAGGGTTCAGGCAGGAGAATGGTCAAGAGACAGTCCAAGGTTCAGGTATCCACAAAGGGGATAAGGTAGTCCAAGTGATGACAGTAGTTTTCAATGAGACACACATGTTCATATATGTTAGAGAGTAAGACACATTCAGATGTCTCCAGGGTAGTTGAAACTAGTTTAATGATTCATTATATCTGTTGCTTTTGAGTAGGGATAACTAACTAGAAGCCTGAATATTCAATCCGGCCCCAACTGATCCCCAGTTTCATTTGCACCATGGCCTTTAATCATGACCACCACCCTATTCCATTGTGCAGATCATATTATGCAATTTGAAGCAAATGCAAAGAGAGAGAGAGGCTCACCTGGAGATTTAACATCTTCTCAACTTGCGCAAGGGTTTCGGGGAATGAAGGTTTGAGGTTCAGGACAATATTTCTCTTTCTGTACAAACCAAAAGGAAAAGGAAAACCTAATGTATCCGTGTTTACCTTTGTACATTAGATGATTATCTTGTTTTGGGGTGTGCACTGTATATATGAAGAATTCACCTTCTGAATCCAGTATTTATTATTGCTGCCTGTGGCAGGAGTGAGAAAGACAGGAGAGATCTATGTAACAACTAAGCAGGAACACAAAGACCATAGAGTATGGCTGTGGCATTAGCTCTGTTCTGTTTCCTTCTCCCACATTGGACTATTGCCTGTTCCACACATAATTGGCCATTGTGCTACTGTGTGCACTTTCTGATGTGGTGTTTCAAGAAATGAATGATTAAGATAACACAACAATAATGCAGTGAAGATGTGTGAAATCAGCCCTTAGCAGAGATAATACCAGAATAGGGCATGAAGGTCTAGGAGGGGCCAGTGTGGTGATTCACTGGTGGGAAGTGCGTCCTTATGGGCAGCTGTTGGTAATCAGTGGTGCAGACAGGAGGTAGCTCAGTCAACACCATGCAATGCTACTGCTGCTGGCCTGTTGCTTCTGGAGTCTCTGATGTCGGTGGTGGATAGTAGCCAGTCAGTGGCCATACAATTTCGCAGCATTGCCCATTCTTTCCTTGGGGATGCCAGCAATGAGAAGCTTCCCTGTATCCCCTCAACCAGCATCAAACCACAACCTTACTGTTACCTACTGTTGCAGGGAATAAGATGTAGAATATGTGAAATATTGGACAGAAAACCATTATCTTATTTTACTTTACTTGGTTTGTGACAGAGTAATTCATTAACACATTGTTTTAAAAATGGATGGTATGGATACATTTCAAAAGGTGCCAGGAATTACATCTTCAGTTGTAATGAATCCTGTAGATATTAAATTAGCGCAGGTTTCCTTAGAGGATCTCCAAATTTTAATTCATATTAATACTTAAAACTGCCTTATGCTGAGTCAGACAATTGTTCTATTAAGATCAATATCATTGGCTCTGACTGGCAGTGGCTCTTCAGGGTCTCAGGTAAAAATATTTCACATCATGAACTGGTAGAGCCCTTTTTTAAATGGAAAGGCCCTGATTTGAACCTAGGACCTTCTGCAAATCAAGCAGATACTCTGCCACTAAGCCATGATCCCTCCTGCTCTTGCCGAAAAGGTTGACCACCATTACTTTCAGATCATATCCCATGTATTCGTTTTCACAAATGGCCTAGCCCCATGTCAGGTTTACAAGCCAGTGACATGCTTTTCATTTCATGAAATGTATTTAATAGCAGTTGACTTCCTGAATTTGGCGCGGCGAGAACAGTCACACCAGGACACTCTCCCATGTGACGACTGGATCATCAGCTCTTCTAGAGGGGTTCAGGGGTTCCCAAACTCCAGTGAGCTCCCTGAAGAGAAGCTCATTGCAAGGGGCTTCACTTGGACTCCCCCACAAGTGGCAGCAAGCGAGCAGGAGCCCTAGATAGCCCCGAAGCAAGAGCCATTCAAGAGCGCCCATGTCAGACATGAGCGCGCAGCTATGACTCTCCAGTTAAAGGGGGGAAAGTTTTACACTTCATCCATACCATCGATGAAGAATAACACCCAAAGCATTTGGAAATACATGAAGATCTTGTAAAGGATTATAATTAACTCCACTCTAATAAGGATTATAACTAACTATGCTTCTATAAACGGATTACAAATGCTTTATTGCTTAAAAGGAAAAAGAATTGGATCTTACTTCGAATTTATTATACACCATATTCCCATAACATTTTATTTTATTTTGTTGAAACCACAAAAATTTACTGTGTATTGATTGTATTGCACTGTATTTTAAATAACTGTATACCTTTTAGAAACCACAAAAATTCACTGTGTTTTGACTCTATTGTATTGTATCCTGGAAAACTGATTAGATTCTTGGCTTATGTTGGAAGTGTCTCTGTTTTTAATATAACTATAAAAGCTACTGTTTTGTAAACATTAGAAGTGGTGTGACTGCAAGGCTTTGCAGAAAAAATAACTTCAGAGATTTTTTTCCTAACACATTGTTTTAAAAATGGATGGTATGGATACATTTCAAAAGGTGCCAGGAATTACATCTTCAGTTGTAATGAATCCTGTAGATATTAAATTAGCACAGGTTTCCTTAGAGGATCTCCAAATTTTAATTCAGAATACAGTTATTACTGCTGTTAGAGTGGCAATGAAAGAAGGTTTGGATTCTATTCAAGACAAAATTGAAACTTTATCACAACAAATCACTACTAAGACGGAGGAGCTTCAGAAACAATGGAAAGACGATATACAAAATTCTGTGTATATACAAGATAGAGAGGAAACCTACAATCAAACTGATATGATCTACAGAATGAACTATGCACGTACAAAGAGAAACAAAACCTTCAAAGATGTGTATTTGAGTTCTTATAAAAGAAACATAAGCAATGAAATCTTCAAGACAAGGATTGTTACATCACTTCAGAGAAAGGAAAGAGAAGAACTTGTGGAATTTCAAATCATCTCAAAAATTGCATACAGGTGGCTAACACTGGAACACACCTTCTACACCTACAAGGGAAAAAGATATAGAAGCATGACTCTAAAACTTAAGAGGAGAAACCAGAAAATGAAGAAGAGGATGAAGCACTACAAAAAAGACTAAAAATTGTTGAGGGAAACTGTGAGAATTAAAGTGGAATAGCATTCCATGAATGGTTTGAAAAGTATAATGAAACATTAAAGTCTTATCCAGAAGAAAATAAGACTTATAGACTTTAAATATAGTTAACTGAAAAATATAACAGAATGCTTAGACAAAGTCTGATCGAGTGGTAAATAATAAGTTAATACTTATATATGTGCAAAAGATTACAAGACAATATAAGGTGAAAAAATGAAATGTAATGTATGAGGCAGTTTAGTAGATAAAACAGCGATGAAGAATGGTATACCCCAATTTTATGTATGTTTGTGTTTGTTTTGTTTGTGTGGGAAATAATTTTTTTAAAAAAGAAATGTATTTAATAGTAGTTAACACTTCTTGCTTTTTAAAAAGGTAATCCGGGTTCCAATCTAACTATTCCTCATAACTCAGTTACAGGTCAGAGGTGAAAGCAAGGCAGGATGTGAAACCCGACATCCGACAACCTCCATTTACAGACTATCGGCAGCCTTCAACAGACTACAGGCAGCCTCCATTAGACTACAGGCACCCTCCAGTATTGGATTACCAGCAACCACCTCCTCTGGACTACAGGCAACCCCCTTTGGTAGATTACAGGCAACATTCTCCTGACACCAGGCAATATCCCTTATCAGATTACAGGCAGCCCCAGCCCCAGGTATTTCTTTATTTGCATATATAATTTTATATTGCTTTTCCATGAAATTGTGCCCAAGACAGTTCACAATAAAGTGTGTGCTATTATTAAATCAAAAGCACAAGCCTAGTGCTATTAAATGTTTGCGACAGAAACTAATATTGAATGCATTCGTGTATTTGCAAAAATATTTGTGCTAATAAAATAAATCTCCTACAGCAAATCGATCCAGGCAAGTGTGAAAGTTTCTCCATGCAGTCGGGCTTATGTTTCTAAATGGAAACGACTTGTATCTGCCTTGTAAAAGTGCTATATCAACCATATTTATAAAACAGCTTTCAGTCTGTGTCAGGGGATGCAAGCAAAGGCCAATTGTATGGACATAATTTCTTTTGGGCACAAGAAGTGACTCCACAGATTGGAGGAAAGCCATTGATTTAAGAACCATTATTAGGAAACCATTTCTGTAATACAGAATCTGAGTCATATAAGCAGCCACTCCTCCATCCCCCATCACTGCCTCTTTGCCAAAATACAAAGCAGATGGAACTGCTGCATAAATACTGTCTTTTATATCACTGTCATAGGCAGAGACTGCTTGTATTTCGGAAATCATAAAACTCCCCACAAAGACACTCAAGGAAAACTAATATTTGCTCAGAAGACCATACCTGTTACATTGTGATGTAAATTGTGCAAATAGAAACTATCTGTGCAGAAACAGAACAGGTGCCTCATTTCAAAGAGGTACTGATGATTTCATGGTCCCAAGCCTAATGACCTTGAGCTGGATCCAGTGGAAATTTCTTATGACAGGGGAGGTGATTTTTGCTGATTTCCCCCTCCCAGGGTAGACCTCCAGCTCCCACTGGGTTTTTTGTCTCCTAGTAGCAGTATTTGGGGAGAGGAAGAGCCAAGGAGAGGCAGAAATAGCTTCTGTCAGTGGAGATTTTATGCAGTATCCAACCTTCCCCATCATAAAATCTGCTACACCCAGGGGTCATTTCCTGCAGGAACGCACAGGAGCGGAGCTCTGGCAGTAAAGAGCCCAGGGGGCAGGCACATGCAACAAGCCCCACCCCTTGCTCCCAGCAGCCCTCAGTCAGAGCAAAAAGCAGCCAGGTAAGTTGCAGAGCCAACAAGTCCAAAACAGTCCAGTGGCACCTTTAAGACCAAGTTTTATTCAGGCACAAGCTCTCCCTCCTCTGCGAGGAGAGATCTGCACATCCCCCCCCCCCAATAGCTAGCAATCCAAAACAGTCCAGTGGAGCCTGAGCGGTGGGAGTTGCCTTCTGACACACTTCCAGTGATGGCAGGGGGTGTGGCATATGCAAATAACTTATGCTAATGAGTTACGCTAATGAGCTCCTGCACCTCTTTTTCTACAAAATGACCCCTGAATACACCAGTATGCAAATGCTAATAATGCAACAAAACAGATATGGCTCACCAAAAGTTTACGTTCTGTAACAGAAATAGTATGTATGGTTGGTAGGGTGTCAGACCAGAACCAGGATGACCCATGTTTGGATCCCTGCTCAACCATGACACTTGGTGAGTGGAGAGCCTGGGCTTTTGTGAGGCTTGAAGGGAAGAAAGAAAAATAGGTATGCCATTGTGAGCTCCTCAGAGGAAGGGTGAAATTAGAATATAGCAATCTGAAAACAGATATTTATTTTATACAAATAGTATGTACTTCACCATTGTTTTGTGTGTGTGTAAGAGGTATTCCAAAATGGTTAATGATAATTAAGGCTATAATCAATACATTGTATTAACCTGGCCAATGTATAATCCATGGCCAGTGAAAGAAAGCCCTCCAAAGAACAAACATGTCTCTTTATATTATCAGCAGAATGAAATGGAAATTTCTGGCTGTAGGTAGAGGGGTTATGTTTGAATGTTCCTCTATGGGTAGTGTATACTATTTTTCTATATGCAGAGGGATGGGGGGGGCATTCAAACCTGCAGGGATGTGGGATGGCATCAGAAGCTAAGCAGGGTCAATACTTGGATGGAGGACTGCCAAGGAAGACCATGCAGAGGAAGGCAATGGCAAACCACCTCTGCTTCTCATTTGTCTTGAAAGCCCCTTTCTGGGGTCACCATAAGTTGGTTATGTCTTGAAAGCATGTATATACATACATACATACTCAAACCTGAAATATCTCTCTCCTCCTTTGTATATGTTGACCGTATGCTGATCCTGTATACTCACACAGGTCATTGGTCCATGTAGCTGAGTACTGTTAACTCTAACCGGTTCTCCAGGCTCTCAGGCAAAGAAATGCCTTTCCTAATCCCTTGTGTATTTTAGCTGGAGATGCCAGCAATTGAACTTGAGACCTTATGCATGCGAAACAGATGCTCTGCCACTAAGCTGAGTCCTCTCCTAACTGATAGGAATCTGATCTAGAAAAGGCTTTAATGCTTGATTATGTTGAATGTATCAATTGTCCCTGAATTGATTGTGAATTGCACCCTGTGTGCATATTTTAGATATAAAATAGTTGTGTACACATCATGTATAATTCAGAATGATTGTGCCCTTGAGACTCATAAGCTATGGAAACATCAGGCACAGAAGTTTTTCATAAACTAAGTTTTTATATGAAAACTGTTTAATATTCTCAAAATCTCAAATATATATATATACAAGAAGGAGGACCCGCAATATTCGCGGGGGGTATTCCCCACGGTTCCCAGACCGCCAAGGCTTCTCCCCACCACCCACAACTGCAACAGCGGCAAGCCCTGCACGGCTCCAAGCCGCCAGGCTTCTCTCTCCCCCTGCCGCTGCCACCGCCAATGATGACAGCAGCAGCAGCAACGGCCGCAGCTCCTAGCTGTGGGGCCTACCAGGCTTCTCCCCCCCCCCATAGTGGCTCCTAGCCACCAGCCCAAGGCTTCTCCACTCGCCGCCACCACCAGCACCAATGGCAGTGATCCCTGCGCGGCTCTGCCACAGATCCCAGAGGTAAGTGTGTTCTCTGCGCATGCGCAAGGAACGCTCTTTTACTTTTGGGGGGATTTAAGTGCCCCCCAAGTGCCCCCAATGTGTGGATTTTGATATCTGCACGGAGGGGGCAACTTGGCTATTAGATATATAGATATAGATATCCACAATATAGAACTGAAATACTATGATTTAAGTAGTTTTACTTTCCAATCCTATATCAGTTTTCCTGAAAGTACACCTCATTTTTTATCTCAAATTACTTTCATGTAAACATGCTTCAGTCTTTACTGTTTCTGCTACACTGACATATCTGCCCGTGAAGTTATTGTCATGATCTTTGAATCAGGAATAAAATGTTCTGAGACATGGTTCATCCGAACTCCTTCGATGCTGACGTAATCAACATTAGGCCTGGTTCATACACTTACCTGTCTTCGGGTGGGGGAGCAATGGCATATTCTTCTTCTTACTATCACTCATGCAGGTATGGTGGGCAATGCTGAGCTCACCTATCCTGCTTCCACTTTACCCTTCAGTCCTGCTATGTAGCCAACTCAGAAGAGACTCTGATAGCTTCAGCAACAGGTCACTTTATTGCATCCAGCTGAAAGATAACCCTTGCTGATGGAGAACGTTAATACACAGAGACTCCAGTGAGGGCTCACTCAAAACTGTGCTCATGGGTATCACATCACAACACATCTAAAGTAATATTTGGCAATAGTTTATCACACAGAATCCAGACTACATGACCACCAGATTCTCTTGATTTTTCCACTTCAAAAAGGCAAAGATCTTGGGAACCAGGCTTTTGTGCATATGGTCGTCTGTTTGGAGTGTATACATCACACATAATTTAGCCATATGTTGGAAACAAGTGGTGTGTGCCATCACATGAAGACAGCTGGCACCTAGCTGGTGTCTCAGTATTTACACTTAAATGAGGAAGGAAAGAGGAAATGCTATGATTTATTGAAATAATTCATTTTTTCCTATTTCCTTTAACTATACAGGATTTTGATTATTTTACTGTTGACATGGAAAAAGGAGCCAAAGGGTTTGGATTCAGTATTCGTGGAGGAAGAGAATACAAAATGGATCTCTATGTTTTGAGGTTGGCAGAAGATGGGCCAGCAATAAGAAATGGAAGAATGAGGGTAAGATGGGATGAAAAGGTGGGCATTCAGCTAAGGCTCACTACCTTGAACTGGGACTGACAGTAGAGTTATGCAGAGTTATTCTAGTGAGTTACTCCTGTTGGGTTTAGACTGGACTAACTCTGCATAGGATTGCCCTGAATCATAGGCTACAATCCTCAGAATGCTCAGTAAAACCTACTGAATAAATAGGACTTACTTCTGAGTAGCCCAGCTTAGGAGTGCTCCCACAGAGTTTTGAGAGTTGGTGGGGCCTTCTAAGTCCTCTGAGTAAATGTGTCTTCCCCAGGCCTGAAGTCCTACAATTTTTTTCCTGTGTCTCCCGAAGTCAATAAAATAACATTGCTAGATTGGAGACCAACAGTCTAAGAAAAGGAATTAGATGCTGCCTTGTGCCTCATGCATAATTGTTGATGGAACTCATCCAAGTGTTCAGCAGCTGCCTTTTTTCTGAACCAGAAAAATAACTCCTTATAATGTTAACATACTTGGAGCACTGGAAATAATAATTTCTCAGTAATCTCTTGGCAGCTGATAGTTGCCAAGAAACTATTATATCCAGTAACACTGACGGATTTTAAAGGAGCAATATGTAAATATTAACCATGCACCTGAAGAGTTGATTATTTGTAAGGGCTTTTTTAAATTTGTCAGTAAGAAGTCTCTTCGTTTGCTGTTTTTGTGTGAGGTTGTATATTTAGAAGCAAGTGAAAGAACTAAGAACTGAAACATCTGTAAACATATGAAAGCACCACCATTAGACAGTGAAGTAATACTGTGCAGATAATAACTATTTGATGACACATTATGGTCAGATATCTGCTTATTGATAGCTCTGGAATTGTTTTGTAATTTCTCCAACTCTAGCCACATAGAAGGGGTAATATAGCGGTAAACCCATCATGTATTTCACTCTGATAAGATTTCATTCATAGTTTTGCAAGAAATACCAGGGTCACTATGCAGAGGCAGGCAATAGCAAACCACCTCTGAGTGTCTCTTACCTTGAAAACCCTAGAGGGTTGCCATAAGTTGGCTGTGACTTGACAGCAAAAAAATAGACGGACAGACTGACTGACTGCATTTGCTGGAACGGATGCTGAAATCCATTGATTGAACTCATGCAAGAGAAAGAAAATGGTGAAGACAATGAAAAAGTATTACTATATTTAACACGTTGTGCTTGAGCCTTTTCACTCTGGATCAATGGATGGGTCAATAGACTCAGTGCAAACAAATGAACTGACAGTGATAGGTATACCAGCTAAACTCATCAGAGGTTAGAGGAGAGGTATTTATTTATAGAGGAAACACTGGCACCATGGAAGGAAAAAAACACAACTTAAAGTCCTGGCTGAAAAAAGACGCAAATAGAATTTTGTCTAACTTGAACCAGGGCCATAGATTAAAGTACCTTGCATTCCAAGGACAAAAGTACTGTGCAGTTTCATTTTCCTCTTGTCCTTGGGAACATGCCAGCATTTGATAATGAGATGACTAAAGAAGAGAGTTCTTTGCCTAGGGTTACATGGATATGGAGATTCTCAGGGGACATATAGAATTCAGACTTCATAGAAGTGTTTCTTTGACAAAACAGTGTTTCCAGTATGACAAGGTTGCAAACTATACAATCCCCACTGGTAAGGAGTCTTGCATTCTCTACATCAAATTCTCTATTTGTCAAAGCTCGCTGCCATTTAAATTGACCTTTAAGCAATTTAAATGGTGGCGAGCAGGCGGGAGTTTGTGCTAGCACTCCCGTAGTAGACTACGGGTTCTTGGGGCGGGGGAGTGGTGATATTCATTTGGGAGGCTTACTCCTTTAGGGCGCTCCCACTGCTGAAGTTCACAGGCATTGAGTGTCCTGGCCTACTGTGGGAGGCTGGGGAGAGTTTGGCGATTTGGCTGGTGTACCAACTGCCCAACGCACTGGCCAATAGCCTGCCATCCCTGATTGAGGCCGTATCAGGCTGGGTGCTGGAACACCCTAGGCTAGTCTTGGATGATTTCAACGTCCATGTCGATGACGCAGCCTCCACCCGGACTATGGATCTAGTGTTGTCCATGGCGGCGCTGGGACTCTCCCAACTTGTAACGACACCCACTCACCAGGCTGGACACACGCTTGATCTGATCTTCATGGCTGGGGTAACAGTGGACCAGATTACTGCTTTGGCAATACCATGGTCAAACCACCATGCCCTTAGGGTCTGTCTGAATGTTCCACTCTGACCCTGTTTGGGCGGCAAGCATATTTTAGGAGAAGGAGAAGGAGAAGAGAAGAGATTGGATTGATACCCCGCCCTTCACTACCCAAAGGTGTCTCAGAGTGGCTTACAAACTCATTTCCCTTCCCCTCCCCACAACAAACACCTTGTAAGGTAGGTGGGGCTGAGAGAGCTCTGACAGAAACTGCTCTTTTTTCAAGAACAACTCTTATCAGAACTACGGCTTGTCCAAGGTCATCCAGCCAGGTGCAAGTGGAGGAGTGGAGAATCAAACCCAGTTCTCCCAGATTAGAGTCCGCGCACTTAACTACTACACCAAACTGGCTCTCCCGCAGAGCCAAATGGACCCTGTATGGTTCCAGGCAGCTCTACAGGATCCGATGCCCCCTGGTGGCTCATTGGATGAGCTTGTAGGGGACTGGCATGGCCAACTCTCTGCAGCCATCAACGAGATCACCCTCCCAATGCTCTCTGCTCCCTTGCTCTAGGCTTGCTCCCTGGTATACCCAGGAGTTGCAGTTTATGAAGCGAGGGCTGAGACGGTTAGAGAGACAGTGGTGATGTGTCCGGGATGAAGCTACAAGAGCATCTTATAGGACGTTTATGAGATCCTATGAGATGGCAGTCAAAGCTGCAAAGAGGGAGTTCTGTGCGGCCTCGATCGCGTCTGCCAGCTCACGCCCAGCCCAATTATTTAGAACAATTCGGTCTTTAACTGTTCTGCCACAGGGAAGATTAAACTCTAGAGAATTGGATATTGGCTGTGAGGCTTTTGTGAGCTATTTCGCAGAGTCTTGTCTCGTTGCCCCGCCACGAACTGTCACAGTTGATACAGTGAGTGAACTCGAGGCTCCATGCACGTCTTCGAGTCAGCTTCTGGATTCTTTCAGTCCACTCAGTCTAGAGGAAGTTGACAAATTGGTCCTAGCAGTACGCCCTACCACATGCTGCCTTGATCTGTGCCCGTCGTGGCTAATTAAAGCTGGCCATGATGGGTTGCGAGGCGCCCTGTGGGAAATTATCAACAAGTCCCTCATTGAGGGACGGTTCCCTGGGGCACTCAAGGAGGCGGTGGTGTGTCCTCTTTTTAAGAAACCATCTTTGGATCCGGCTGAATTAGCTAACTACCGGCCAGTCTCCAGTTTGCCATATCTGGGCAAAATAATAGAGAGGGCCGTGGCAATCCAGCTACACAGCTTGTTGGATGATGCTTCCATCCTCGATCCCTTCCAGTCCGGTTTTTACCCAGGCCATGGGACAGAGACAGCACTGGTTACTCTCTTGGATGACCTCCGGAGGCATCTGGATCGAGGCAGTTCGGCAGTGCTGTTGTTGTTAGACTTGTCAGCTGCGTTCGACATGGTCAACCATCAGCTACTGGTCCACCGCCTTGCCGACGCAGGAGTCCAGGGGCTTGCCTTGCAATGGCTTGTCTTCTTTCTCCATGGTTGGGGACAAAGGGTGGCATTAGGGGAACAGCTCTCCCAGAGGCACCCACTAGAGTGTGGAGTACCACAAGGGGCGATGCTTTCCCTTATGTTATTTAACATCTACGTGCGCCCCCTTGCCCAGATTGCCCGGAGTCATGGGCTGGGGTGTCACCAGTATGCTGATGACACCCAGCTCTATCTGATGTTGGGTGGCCAGTCTGGCTCCAGATCAGAAGATCTGGACCAGGCGTTACAAGCCGTGGCTGGTTGGCTTAGACTGAGCCAACTGAAACTGAATCCAACAAAGATTGAGGTCCTGTGCTTGAGTCGGGGTGGTTCGGGGGTAGGGATCCCAACTCCCAACCTTCGATGGGGCACCGTTGGTGCCAGCGCTGGTGGTTAGGAGTTTAGGAGTGCTCCTGGATGCCTCCTTAACAATGGAGGCCCAGGTAGCAGCCACTGCCAAGTCGGCCTTTTACCATCTTCAGCTGACTAGGCAGTTGGTTCCCTTCCTCGAACGCAACGACTTAGCAACAGTGATCCATGCAACGGTCACCTCAAGATTAGACTACTGTAATGCTCTCTACATGGGGCTGCCCTTGTCACAGATCCAGAAGCTGCAGCTAGTGTAAAATTCAACAGCTAGGCTTTTGATGAGTCTCCCCTTGAGGGAGCACATCCAGCCGGCCCTGAAAGCATTGCACTGGCTGCCGATAGCATACCAGATTTGCTTCAAGGTGCTGGTTCTTACATTTAAAGCCCTTTATGGCCGGAGTCTGAGGGATCGCCTTTCCCCATATATACCCCAGAGAGCACTACGGTCAGGGAATCAAAATTGATTGGCCCTCCCAGGTCCTAAGGATGCCAGGCTGGCTGTAACCAGGGCCAGGGCTTTTTCGTTGGCGGGTCCGTACTGGGGGAATGAGCTCCCAGAGGAGATCAGGGCCCTGCAGGACCTTTTACAGTTCCACAGGGCCTGTAAGATGGAGCTCTTCCACCAAGCTTTTAATTAGGAGCTGCCACCATCACTAGTTACCATCAATAGTAACTGTCACTAGTAACAACTGCAAACCCTGGTTTCTGGTGAATTATCGACAGCCTGTGCATGTCGAGTAAGATCAATGCTGGAAATAAAGACCATATGGTATGCACTCATCAGCACCGCCATTGCTGTGATATTGGAATAACGTTGCTAGCACTTAATATGTAATACTGTATTGTTTTAACAAATTGTTTTAATAGTTTTAATGATTTGATTGTTAATCTGTGTTTTATCTGACTGAGCCGCCCTGAGCCTGCTTTGGAGGGGTAGGGCAGGATATAAATTGGAATATAAATAAAT